ATTTGTAGTTTTGGTTACAATCAAAGTTAACTTCTCTTCTCTAATTGAATGATCCAAACACTACATAAGACTTTATAATTTTCTACATTATCTATACATTTATATTATTTTATTAGACAAAACAAAAGTTTCGACATTTTTAAGTATTTATTATAAAAAGTTTGTTCACATTAATGTTAGTTTTAAAAATGCATTTTTTTGTAAAATCAAAATGAATGAGCATTTTATATAAAAGTAAATTCTAGACTAAAAATATTAGTGATATTTTTATACAGAAATGTTATCCGCACTAAAACCTATACAATAGTTTATGTCTATTAGGATTATTACATAAATATATAATACATTATTGTCTGTTGAGGTCATGTCTTAAGATATTTTGGTTAACAATCCGTGAATTTGATTGCTATGTGATTGAATCGATTGATTGTTTTGAACAAAATAGTGTTATGGAGAGAGCGATCAAAACTAATTGAATCAAAGCTGAAAACAAACACAATAAACCAATTATTCCGGATCTCAGTTCAAGGAATCTTCTCAGCGCTCGACCACAACCCTAAACATTAAACACAATTTGGATAAATATTAATAATTTTTATAAAATTTGCTAAAATAATATAATGTATATACTGTACTTTACAGTACTTTACATATACTGTATTATATAAACACACAAAACAGCAGATTCATTGAATTGGTTTAGTGTAACTTATAAGTTATAACAAGTTAATGTCAAAAAGCATTGTAAAGCTAATTAATTCTATACAACGATTTGCTATGATATGTATGGCATGTATGACCTGTTCGTTAACATATGTAGTTCCGGCCAAATAACAGGACGTCGGGATTGTCATCCCATATCTCGCGTAGTCGTTAAATGATTGGGCGCCACAACATCTCAACTGAATTTAACGGTTTAAACCGGTTTAGCATTTTTGCGGTACTTTTGAAAAGTTCTTGAAATATACCTTAACCTGAAAGAAGTCGAGGAATCTGCGGGACTGGTCGTTGTATTGGGCCTGTTGTAGGTTCTGTAGTATCTCTTCGTTGGCAAATATCTCCAACTAAAGCAAAAATTCATTTGTTTTATTTAATGTTTAATAATTTAATAATTAGTGAATTAATTATACTCTTTCTCCAAATCCGTGAAATATTCCCAAAACAATGGCTGCGATTTGCATAACGAATAGACACGTGAGGACTGTGAAGAACTGGTCGAAACACAATGTGATTAGTAATCAAAATATAATTAATTAAAATAAGTAGTATTACTGTCGCCAAAAGGCAAGAGTTTTCAGTGATCACTCCAATGAGTCCAACGAATCCAATCAAAATAATTACAAAACCAGTGATAATCATAATAAGACTGGCGTGAATCATGTTGTCGGTGTCGATGAAGCGACTTGGTTCGTACGACTTCGGGTCCACTCGCAACCAAATGCCGATTCCCAGAATAGTCCACCCGAACAGCTATTATGGTATGTAATTATCAATTATTTGATGAATAAGGAGTTGTTGGCCTAAAACTTACCCATAATATGAAATTGAGAATTATAATGACAGTCTTGAGGAAAGACATGTGTTTATAGGTGATAGCGGAGGGCATATGACGGTTGGGAACCACGCAAACCAATTTGGGACACCTGACCACAAATACCGGTTCACTTTTTCTGGACTTATCCGCTAATACTGTTTCGTCCGCCAGTTTTATAAAAGGGTTTTTGTCACTTATTTNCGCAAACCAATTTGGGACACCTGACCACAAATACCGGTTCACTTTTTCTGGACTTATCCGCTAATACTGTTTCGTCCGCCAGTTTTATAAAAGGGTTTTTGTCACTTATTTTCAACAAAACTTTTTTAAATTCATTCATTCACTTACAAAATCATTTCATCAGTTTTGTCACTCAATTGTCTCTCAAATGAATGGATCGCCGAAAAAGGGCTAAAATATAAACATCAATAAAAAGTGAGAATATATTTATAATTATAACCCAAAACACAAACACAATGACAAACCGTTTTATTTATAACTTAAAAATGATGATGAATTCAATTGAATATAGTTTTAGTTTATTTCTGGTATTCGTTTAAAAGATACAAATGAAATGAATTTATTCAAAGAATTTAATGAAAACTATTAAAACAATATTCAAAACTATTATTTACATTGATGTTGTATTTAAACATATATTTTTAATGTAATTATCTCTACATTCTTTATCGTTATAGTGAATATTAATTATAATATTAATTGATATCATGTATAGTAAAAACCAAAATCTGAAACTTTAAAAGTTAAGTGTAGAAATTAATTCATTGACATAACCATTGAATACCACAGAATTGATTATTTTGTGTGACTAATACTTCCTTATAATAATGTTAAATAAAAAATACCATACATTTAAATTCAAAAGTGTTTCTTTCATAACAGAAATGGTTTTACTGTTATAACAAAAGTGTAGGTTTTCTGATGATAGCGTTCACTTAGAAACTGATTTCATATGTAAACCAATAGTTTAGAT